CCCCCCCACCCCACCCCATCCTTCATCCTTAAACCCTCCCCATCTGTGTCTGTGTGTGTGTGTTCAAAAGTGAACCAAAAAATCAGGTGCGTTGTGTTCCAAAGTGATCTCGCTTTTTGCTAACCCTTCCATGTTTTTGTGTGTTTTGTGTGACCCATGTTTTGTGTTCCAAAGCGAACTAAAACCCTGTGTTCCAAAGTGAACTAAAACTTGTGTTCTGAAGTGACCCCGCTTCCTTTTCCTGGGGGATGTCACAGTTGTTTTAGTCAAACCTTTAGCTTTCTCAAACCGGTGAAGAAATTTGAATGAGAAGAGCCCAAGAGTTGTTTCTTTCTTGTGAAACCATTGAAGTTCCGAGGGTCCCCATTGCTCAAAGACCATCAAAGACTACCAAAAAAGATCCCTTAACATCGCGATTTCTCGTTTTTGTGTCTCAGATTCTTTGAGGCAGAACTGTTTTCACGTCGTTTCTGCAGGACAGCACTCTTCTTGTGGCAACTTGGCATTTAAAATGGAGCTGGAGAGATCTGAAGAGAGTGGGGGATGATCATGTTCCTCATCGTATCTCTTTCATCATGTGATCAATCAATTGCTTTTTCCACCCCGATCTCCAATCCAAATGCGATCCACGCAAAGCATCAATTGAGGAGTTCACTTTTTCTGGAATTTCAGGTACTGTAGACTGGTAGCATCTGGTATATACTCAGCTTGCCGGTCCCAGGTGCTCTTCCTTAGCGATCATGTTAGTGCACGCCTGGTTTCAGTTGAAGCACGCCAGGCGATGGGGACCATGGGACATGTGGTCCGCACGCACCCGGGTGGGAGAAGTGAGATACTTGAAGATGAGAGAATCAATTGGGCAACTTACTAGGAACAAGTGCCTTACTAGTAGTAACAAGTGCCACGCTAGTAGTAACAAGTGCCGTACTACTAGTAACAAAAATAGTTTAATTTTGTATGCGGAAACGGGGTCACATTGTGAGTCACAAGGTCTTGTCCACACATGGAAACGGTGAGAGTTTATTGTTTCGTTTCTGACCTGAAGTGAACCAGCAATCGACGGGTTGCCCGTTGCGATGGTTGGTCCTTTTTTTGCGAAGGGATGCAGATAGTCACAATCGACAATCTGCAAGACCATAAAGATAGATCATCTCTGAGAATATTCTACCAGATTAAACCGTTTTCGTTTATTTTCATTATCCTATCTTGCTGGACGCCCCGACAAAAACTCATGACTTCCCTCACGAACCTATTGACACTATTGATGTTGGGTTGATTTGATTCTTCCTTCTGTTGGGAGCCGAGTGATGATGGCGTTGCAGGTGGTTTGAGTCGCAACATCTCACCATGAAGGCTCGACTGAGCTTTTCGATGCGCCAATGCACAGTCCTGATCTGGATTGGTCGTTTGTGTCCTGTATTAACTCAAAGATCAAGCCGATACTCAAGCATCATAGGTATGGAAATGTCAATGATTTTGACAGGATTTGACCCACCATCCTTCAACACTGAGGATAGAGAAAAGCGACAGGCGACAGTCAAAGCGACATAAAGCAACCATTTGAGTCCTTCTGTTGGAGGCCATCGCTAGTAGGGTGGCGGCCATCGCTTCTAGGTTGGAGGCCCTTGCTCCTAGTAGCTTCTTGCTCCTAGTAGCGATGCCCTTTGCTCCTTGTAGCTTCCTGCTCCTAGTAGTAGGGCCAGGAGCCCCAAGTAGCGTCCTTGCTCCTAGTAGCGATGCCAGGAGCCCCTAGTAGCGTCCAAATCGCTTGGATTCACACCCAAATCGTTCCACACCGATCCAAATGCTCGGTCGGCGGGTCGTTCTGCAGGACTTTGCGTTGGTGCTGCGCGGGGCCTGGTCGGTCTGCTGGGAGATTTTGTGACACACACAGAAAATGACACGTATCAGAGCATGAACATAAAAGATAGGCAAACAAAGATTACATTCATTTGTTAACTTCGTGAACTTTCAGGCAGTGGGCTTTGTCGTCTACGCCCTTCCCCCAAATGTGAAGATGAGTGGAGCTGTGTTGAAGCCACTCCATGCAGTGCATATTCCAACATATTGCATCAATTGTACCAGCATCCGTCGGCAGTGCCTTGATTCGTTGGACGGTTCTAAGGTCCGGCTTGCCGGCAGACGTCACAGATGAACAGAAGCTAGCAGAAGCCTTGGAGGTTTGTGTTTTGCTTGGCCGAAGCGGTAGTCCAGCGGATCAGGCGGTTCTGCGGAAGATTCCCGGATGTTTCCTCTAGCTTCCGGTCTCAGTTCATGTTTGTCCAAAGTGACGACTATCACACCTGAACAAATATTAGATATCGCTTAATCCGGAACATGTATCATCATGTCCCCCCGACAAGAGGTCAGTTGAGATAAGGCTACTGAGGGGCATGGTACTGCCCGAGCAGGGAGAAGTCTCCAAGCAACAAAAGGGCCACGTCAAGCATCAGCAGAGCATCAGCAACCTTTGGTCGAAGCTCAAGAAGTGGACTCACTTACCAGCTCGGTCCCAAGGCAGACTGCATCTCTCGTCAGATCGGCTCGGAGGCCCAAGAAATTCAAGGTGTGAGCTGCACGCAGTTGATTTGTGGATCAGGCAGAACGATGCTTAAACATTGTCGAACTTTGAGTCACATGTTGATTTAGTAGCCATCCACCTTCTCCTCAAAGATGAAGTTATGATTGGTGAGATGATGTGAAGCGAAACCCCTCATGCAAACACAAAAGGGCGAAACAGATCGAAACAAACATTTGTGTAATGCGAACTCTATATATATATGTATATATACTGAGGCCAGTCCTATTAGGTTGGAGGCCATCGCTTCTAGGTTGCAGGCCATCATTCTTAAGTTGGAGGCCATCGCTTCTAGGTTAGAGCCCGTCGCTTCTAGGTTGGAGGCCATCGCTTCGAGGTTGGAGGCCACCGCTATTAGGTTGGAGGCCATCGCTACTAGGTTGGAGGCCGCCGCTACTAGGTTGGAGGCCATCGCTATTAGGTTGGAGGCCATCACTTCTAGGTTAGAGGCCATCGTTATTAGGTTGGAGGCCATCCCTTCTAGGTTAGAGGCCATCACTTCTAGGCTAGAGGCCATCACTATTAATTAGGTTGGAGGCCGCCGCTATTAGGTTGGAGGCCATCGCTATTAGGTTGGAGGCCATCGCTATTAGGTTGGAGGCCGCCGCGATTAGAAACAAAGAAAAAGAAAAGGAAGAAAGGTCTAATAGAGTTGCTTCACTAAGGGGAGACGATCCGTTCGGTCTCCATCGGATACGATGTGACCTCCTGCTGGAACGAGGCACATGAGGGAGATCAGGGTGCACATCGGCTCGGATGCCACACTGACTAGACTCTCGTTTCTTCTCATTTTTTAGACTTTTTACGCCAAAGGTGCAAACCATGCGGAATCGCCATTCTCCAGGTGGAGACCTTGTTGGACCGTCACTTGGCCTATTGCGACGCCCATTTCTGTGGCCACCCCGACGTGGGACTGAGACCGGGGCCGCAGGCGCAGTCTGCTCGAAGTGACCGGCGCTGTTCTACACGGTCAAACTCTTCAGTTGACACTTCGAAAGCTGAAGAAGTATCCAGTTGTGCAAGTCAGGGGAGTCAACTCTTGATTTGTGCACATGTTTCTTTCCTAATATAGTAACAAGAAGCTATTAGTAGCTCCTGGCATTACTACTAAGAACAAGAAGCTACTAGTAACAAGGGCATCGCTACTAGTAACAAGAAGTTATTAGTAGCGCCTCCGCTGCAGGGAGGTGCCGCGGAAGAAGAAATCTTGGGCCCGTTGGCCATGAGACGAAACATGGAGGAGGCGAGGATGGTGTCCAAAGCTGTCCAATGATGAACCGAGGCTTTGCAGTTCACAATAAAACCGAACAAAGCCATATTGGCAGAAGAAGTATCAGCATGCAAATTACATTTTGAATGAATGGGCAGATTCGGTATTTGTCATGGAGGTCAAGAGGTTTTAGGTTGGTCTTCATCCTGGAGGTGATTAGATTAGCCAGCAAGTACATTTTGTGACCAAAGTCACTAGAGATGAGTTCCTTAATGCAAAGTCACTGCTGTTTGCATCCCAACTTCTCGACTGGACAGGACAGCCAGTGGGTCCAAGACTGGTTCAGGCTCGCCAACAAGAAATCAGAGATGAGTCAGAGATGAGCGAATGTGACATGTGGGTGGTTTGATACAACGGAGGATTATGGAAGAATGCTGCTGCGGCACTTCCAAGTTCCCTTATGGTTTACGTAAACCAGTGGACCAGCGCAATTCTTTTTGGTTTGAGAATTGGGATTGTTCATTTCATGAACAGTCATCAGGACACTGCCCTTCACTAGCATACAACCATGTATACAAGCATATGACTACAGGGTTGTTGGCCTTATGGGAAAGGACCTCCTCTATGGGCTTTGCCAGCTGCTGTCACAGGCCCAACTCTTCGAAGGAGATGAAAGGCTCAGGCTCCATCTGTTCTCCGGACAAGAACGGGTCGGTGTTTATAGGAATCGCTTTGATTATGTGACATTGTCCTTGGATCCTTTTCATGACTCTAGACCGAAAGAAATAAAGATCAGCTGATGGAAAGGAAACAGATTCAACTCCTGGTTTGGCGTTTGTGTTGGCAAAGAAACCTAATAAACTGATAGACATACCTAGCACCCAGGTCTTTGGAGCTCCACATCCTCACCTCGACCGCGACCTCGATGTGCCAGGCTTTGCTTGGGCGGTCTTCAGCAGCCACCGAGACCGCGATGAGGCGATCCACAAGATGTTGGCTCTGGAGAAAGATCGACGAGGCCCGGGGGCAGTGCCCGTGAGGAGTAGCTGGGAGTAGCTTAGCTACGTGTTTGGACAAGTGAGTAGGCAGATCTGTAGCTTAAGTAGTTACATGTAGCTACTACAGTAGCTAAGTAGCTGCTACCTTCCTTGAAGTCTGAGCCTTACAGATTTGATTCCTCACAAAGCGGTTGTCGCGCAGATGGTTTCGAGACGCCGACGAAGACGGAGTTGTTTTGTTTTCTCGTGGTCGTCGTTATTCACGGGAGAACCTGCTTGACAAAGAACATCAAAGAACAGTTGAACAGTCTAAGCAGTCTAAGTCTAAAGTCGAGAGAAGCTGAGGAGTGATTCACATGTTGTATCGATGGACAGCCGAGGGTTTGCGGGCCCGCTGCTGAGGCATCCACTGGCGGGATCCTGACGGCACTTGCTATCCATTGGACTTTGGAATTCCGCAGATTGGCCGATGTGAACAGTTTTTTGGGTTGGCCGATCTTAGACATGAAAAACTGTTTGAGCTGGATGTTTGTCTTGCAAGATATGCAAGGATGGGGTGTCCCTGCCAATAGCTTGGGTGTGAGGCGTTGCGAGCCCACCAACGTGCGCTGGGATCACCTGGGCCTTGGGCTGTGCTCAAGGCGCTTGCGCTTCTTGGGCGTTCCTTTGGCCCAGAAAGCTAAGCATTCTGCGCACTAGGAACAAGTGCATCGCTTCTAGTAACAAGTGCCTTACTAGTAGTAACAAGAAGCTACTAGGGGCTCCTGGCCTTACTACTAGGAAGAAGGACGCTACTAGGAGCAAAGGGCATCGCTAATAATCTATCTATTGTACATCATGTTTGTCCTTTGATGATGGAAGGATACCTGCTACATAACCATACAAAGAATTGAATTAGCAAAAAGACATTGCATGCAGACCATGTTCCAAGACACATGTTTCTGCAATGATGCAGAGTCAGAAGATGTGAGAATCATGACCATGTATTGATTCTTTTGGGGGTGGAATTCGTTGTACGTACTTCTAAGATACCTGGGATGTTGGATGATTGGGTTTGCTTGGTCTATCAACAGTGGTAGGCCGTGTGATAATTGGACAAGGGTCGGTGAACATGATAAAGTAACTGCTACCCTACCCACAAAATAAATTTTACCACCCTTTGGTTTGTCTCAACCAAGGCAGTGCTTATTTGGTCCATGGCCGCAGCTGGGTTGGCCTTCTTCGTTTATGTGCCCTATGCTGAGTACGTCACCGGCTTCCTCAACGAGGTGAGAAGATAGGCGGAAAATCAAGATAGAAACACATACAGACGTCTATAGCGGAGATTTATGACAAGGGATGAGCGGTGAACATCCAGAAGGCAGTGGGAGGACTTGTTCACACTGCAATGTCGGCTATGCACCTGCAAAACAGTGAGATTTATGCCAAACCTCCACAAACCAGTTTGTCAGGTTAACTCAGGGTGTGGTGGTTCAGTCGGTCCAGTCTCCAGCCTTCCATTGTTTGCTTCAAGCACCTGTCAGGCGGGGAAGTTCCCCCAGGGCTTCATGATGGGCTTGCTGGGCTTCCTCATTGGTCTCACATGGTGGGCCATGTGCATGATGATAGGCGAGCATTCTGGCTTGTCCGTTAGGACCGTTAGGAAGATGGGAGTTGCTCAGTTATGAGAGTCACGATAGTACTGTGAAATCAAGTCTTCCAGTATTTTACAGGCGATACAGGAAGATTGTGGAACTTACAGACCGATGCTTTGTTGAAAAGGAGCGATGTCCGCCGCGAGGCACTTGCGTGAACATTGCGGGGTTTCAGACGATTGAAGATGAGAACCTTTTCATCTTCATTTTCTTCACCATCTTTTGCGTGGCGAGACGAGAGGGATCGCGAGGGTGCAGTCAATGTTTGTTGCCATTTGTTCCATGTGTGTTCAAGGGTATGGAGTTTGTGAGTCTTCTTGCAGAGTGTTGAGGGGCCATTCTGGGCATTTGCAGATCATTGGACAGCTGCTATGCTACCTTGAGGTTGCTGCATCTGCCTTCAATGTATACCTCACCTGGTACTACACTCAGGAGCAGCTCCCTTGAAGTCATCGGACTGGCGAGAGTGAAAACTCTGTGGTGTCATTCCGCATCTGTTTCCGCACCAGGACTTGTGGCAACATCACACCAGCAGCTGGTTCGAGAGCATTGAAGGCTCAGCACCGGGCACCTGAGATGATTGTTCTCGCATACTGTTTGTCTAGTGCCTTCGGGGGATTACTTCTAGTCAGTTTGTTTTTATTGCGATAGATATTTAAATTAAACAATTCCATGTTTGAGTTGGTCTCCCTTTTGGTTTCTCTAAATTGTGAGGGGGGGTTGGGGGGCCGACCATGAAATTCCCTACAACCAGACTGATTTATCCACTGATTTAGGGGCAATCTGTGGTTTGGGACGTAAAAAGGCAGGATGGTCACAATGCGTCCTTGCTCCTAGTAGTAAGGCCAGGAGCCCCTAGTAGCTTCTTGCTCCTAGTAGCGATGCCCTTTGCTCCTAGTAGCGTGCTTGTTCCAGTTGCATCCCGTGCCACAGAGCTGTGATGATCTGTCTATTCTGGTTCCATGTGCTTTGCCTGACAGGGAGTTTGCTGACAACAGGAGGTCCGGTCACAACGCTGAGGGACCTCCGGATGCTCGGAGAAGAACAGTTTTGACATATTTTGCCCGACGTATACGCTTCAACCTTGTTGACATGCGGGTAGATACTGTACAAGGGTCTTGTAGATAACTTCCCTGTTGGTGATGACAAGGGACAGGAGATGCCAAGAGACAGCAGAGACTCTACAACATTTGCAGCTTTGTGATTCGATGCCGTGACATGACGTGGCGCGCCAGACCAAAGTTCCTCATCGTCCCTCAGATTCCTGCGGCCTCTCTATCCTTTAGAACGGAATGTGGAGTCCAAAAAACGAGAGGCCATTTCGGGCATGTGTCAACCACAGATTTGAATGCGCTTCTGGAGGAAACTGAACAACACCCTTGTCAATCGCTGACGTCTGAGGAAAGAAATTGACCTCGGCTTTCGTGTCATGGCTGGGAGGGTTTTGCGGTACAGTCGGGTACAGTTGGGTACCTTCCTCAAGTTAACAGTCCTTCTTGGAGGAAACATGGGGAAGCACTACAGTTTTCTCCTTTCTTCAATCTTACACAAATGAAGACACCTACAGTATAGAGGGGGAGAGAAACAAGCATGTGTATTGATCACGCTTTGAGTTTTAACGCTTGTTTGACACTCATTTGCTGCGTTGCATTGATCTTTGTTCCTCGTGCCCGAACCTTGCCAGATACAAGATGGGAGCGACGGGAATCAAAGCACAAACATTTATAATTTATCATGTATGCGCTGTGGTACTTCAAACCCTACGACCCTTTATTCCTTTTTCTTCTTTGTTTCTAAGAGCGATGGCCTCCTACCTACAAGCGATTGCCTCGAACGTTCATGTTTGTTTTTTTTGGGGGGGGGTCGATGTTTGGACCACAAACATGCAGTGACAAAAGGTAGTAGTGAACTCAAGAGTAGAGCTTGGCTCCAAGCTTTGTTCTCAAGCAATACCTCATTAATGCCAGGAGTTCTCATTGAAGACGCCAAAACAGCTTTGCTTTTAAATTGTGAGATAGACATCATGGTTGCCCCCCAGTGCTGAGGTGTCTTCCAGGTGTTGGTACCTGGAGTGCTCTTCACCCCCTGTTTGTTGAGTCCGCTGAACAACTTTCTGTGCCTTGGTGTACATCAATGTTCAGGGCAAGCAGGGGTCAATAGAGGAAATGAGGTGGACAGCGGGGTTGAAGAGAGCCAGGTAAGGGAGAGGCTCGTTCATTCGTTCATTGACCTGTGGGGACAGCATGTGGAAAGTGAATGAAAGTCACCGATGTGTTCATGACTCTTTTGCGCATGTTCTAAGGTTGAGAACCAGATCCACCGTTAAGGATATCCACCTTGTCACCTCTTGACCTGCGGAAGTGAGACTTGAGACTCAGCTCACTCCGAAAACAAAACCATGCTAGCCTGGTCCCGACGTTCTCCCGCAGGATCCCATACTTCAGGGAGTCAGCGCTTTTGGTGCTCTTTGGCCAAGGCATGGGCGTCCCATCTTGTGTTTGCAATGTTACATTCTACTTGAATTCTAAATGTATGTCTTGTTCCTAGTAGTATGGCCAGGAGCCCTAGTAGCTTCTTGTTCCTAGTAGAGAGAACGAGGAACATGTTGGAAACTAAACATTGGTGTTTGAACATTTTGGGCAGATGGGCGTGCTCTGACCAGCTGGATCACTCGTCTTTTTAGCAAGACCATCTTGAAAGTACCTGCATGTGGAGCCTAACCTAGGCGGACTCTACGGGGTGTTTCGAATCGGCGACAAAAAGCAACAGAAGACCAGTGCCTACAGGTAGTGCCACGGACAAGTTCGGGTGCTTCTCGTGAGGCAAAAGCGGACGAGAAGCTGAGCGCTTCCTGGAACCACTGCCCATCGGTTGCTCGGTCGTTGTCGGCTTGCTCTTGAGTATGGACTGATGTCATGTGTTTTACCTGTGCCTTTGTCTCACACGTGTTTGTTTGAGTCTCATCACATGAGGCTTAGCGTGGGACTACCAGGGTCATGTGACGCTTCCATGCTGTCGCTTGGTCTTCAAGCAATGAAGGTTCTGTGGCCGGTGCAGCAAGTCTTTGGTTTTCTGCCAGAAACGCTGAAGGCGCTAAAGAAAGGGCATGACATTGCCTTCGTTAGCAGGGACTTGGCCGTGCACACACACACAGACACAGGGTTCACCATGTTTCACCCATAGTTTGCGCGAGATCCAGGGAGTTCTATCTGAAATCTTAAGATTTGCCAAGTAGTGATGACTGCAGTAGAGGAGGTCAGGGACTGATTCAGCTGTTTGTATTGGGATCCATGATGCTGAACTGTTTGGCGGCAGGGTAAATGCCTATGGCGTTCGTTGATGCCTGTGGACACGGACTTTGTCTCTTTTCAGAAAGAGCCTGAGGTTGTTGCCTTACTCTCTTCATCATGTCCCCTTCCATGTGGTGGGCACAGGCATACCTATGCTTCTTGGTTTGCACACCAGAAAATGAAGAAGACCGAGCGAAAGCCTAGGGCGGAAGCAACCAAAACCTGCCAACGTTTTCCAACGTTGTGCGTGCCAGAGCCCTTCACGGAGACGAAGGACGACGGAATGGGTAGGATGTTGAATCGGTGGCTCAGGCATTTGGGCCTTTTTCTTCTATCTCTTCCAGCGTTTCATGCACCTGCGAGTTTGCAAGAAAATGTACCTCGGATGGAGGAATTTGGTGAGATTGTTTGACTGCGTGCCATATCGTGCTTATCTAAGATCCAAGCTAGTAGTAACAAGTGCCTTACTAGTAGTAACAAGAAGCTACTAGAAACAAGTGCCACGCTAGTAGTAACAAGAAGCTATTAGAAACAAGTGCCACGCTAGTAGTAACAGGTGCCTTACTAGTAGTAACAAGAATCGGGTGGAGGACTGGACACTGGACACTGGACAGACTGGACAGAGTCTGGGGCAAGATGTCTCACAAAATTCAGACTCGGGTCAATGGAACCAGCCCTTGGCTTTGGGAATGTCAAATGGACAGTTTTCCATAACTTGCACACTTGGACCCTATCCAAAAAGCAAACATGGGTCGCCCAGGTACTGCACCTCTAACAAACTGGTGCCGACCTCAGAAAGCGGAACGCCTCGTCAAGGGCTGACCGGTTTGGGACTAGCTGTTTGTGAAGCTTGGGCCTCCAACCTACTAGCGATGGCCTCCAACCTAAAAGCAAACCATTAAGCTGATATTTGTGGCTTGAGACTTGCAGTCTCGTGCAGTATGCTTTTCTATCACAGTCACAAGTGGAACTGCCTTCCTTTCCATTCTTATGTCAGAGGGTATTAATCAGAAACACCTTCATTTCATGCCCTGGTCGAGTCGGGCAGCTCATTTGTTGAATCCACTGGAGACGACCAGAACCCTGTGGTTTACCTTTGCATCGCTCAATTTGGGGTTGAAAGGCTGAAAGGGAGTAGTTAATTACTTTATGACAGCGCCTGTTTGCTTTCCTGGAGCCTACCATATAGTCTTGCTGAGGACTCGATGGTGCTCTACTTTGGTTGGGGCTTGCTCTTAGCTGAGCTCGCTGCCTGCCATGCTTACTGGCGGGTGAGATTGCAAGAATGGTTGCTTGGTGAAGACATTCCTTGGGAATCGTTTGACTGGGAATCGTTTCACCTGTAGTAACAAGAAGCTTTTTAGGTCTTTAGTAACAAGAAAGCTTTAGTAACTAGAGCTTCCTTGGGAATGTGAAGATGGCAAGATTGGCGGCCCAAAAGAGCTGGATGGACTAGACTGCAAGCACTCCCAAAAGCTAGCGAAAAGTCACATCCACATGTGAGCCACCTTGTTGAAGAAGCACATGTTTCTCATACATTTATGGTTCTTTATTGTGCTCAGGCAGTGGATTTCCATCCTGCAAAGTGTGATCATGTCCTACGCGGCTTGGATGCATGGTCGGGTGAATGTCATGTAGAATGGGCTTGCGAGTGCACTAATTAGACATTTGATGGGTCCCAAAGAAGCTAGTCTAATTGGACGCTACGAGGGGCTCCTGGCCTTACTATTAGGAGCAAAGACGCTACTACGAACAAAGGGCATCGCTACTAGTAACTAAGAAGCTACTAGATCGGTGGGACCCTAGACTAAACGCAGGCTTTTCGAGCACCCAAAGCGGAGCACTACCAAGATCGCCACACATCACGACGACACCGCATGAAGCAAGGCCCCATTTGCACTCCAGGCTCTAAAATTCAAGCCCACCTGGGCACCTGATATATTTAGGGCTTTTGACAAACAAGGTTTGACTCTGTTTTTGGAGTCATAGACTATCATAGACTACGTCATAGTCACTGTGAAACACTTGCTGAAGTCATAGGCGATCTACTGGACCTTCTTGTGGCTGCTGGGCGTCCCTTGGCCTTTGCGCCTCCACGGCGAGCTTGACGTCTTGGAGCGTAGCCGGGAGCGCTCCGACGATGTCGCTTGGTGGAGTGAGACTCATCCCGGCTCGGAGGAGAAAGATGGAAGAGAAGAGGCCCTAGTAGCGTCTTTGTTCCTAGTAGTAAGGCACTTGTTTCTAATAGCTTCTTGTTACTACTAGTAAGGCACTTGTTACTAGAAGCGATGCACTTGTTACTAGTAGCGTCTTTGTTCCTAGTGCCAGGAGCGCCCCGTTCGTAGCGTCCAGGTAGCGTCTCATGAAGTGACTGAGGATCGATGTCAATCATGCGAAGACTTTTGCTACAATTGGCTCAATGTGAATCCAGTCTATGTGTCTTGGCTGTCGTGAGTTTGGGAACCCTCTCTTTTGTCCGGTTGGAAGTTGAGTAACATGACATTTTACAACATCCCTCAGTAAACTTTATCCCCCCAGAAACTGCCTTTGAAAGGGCTGCAAAACGAACTTGGGACCTTTTGACTGGTGTTCCCTACTGGATCTTTGGCAAGGAAGCAACTCGTTTCTTGGGAATTGGAAAATGACTTCAGCAAAACGAGCAGCATCTCCACAAGGTCCTGAAGAGCCAATACTGCGAGACCGACGGGGACCCGATGATCTTTTACGAGCCTGGCACAGGGCCCAGGGCGGAGTGAGAAGAGGAGAATCGAAGCGACCGATCTATGAGGATAATACTAGCGATGCACTTGTTAATACTAGCTTCTTGTTACTACTAGTAAGGCACTTGTTACTAGTAGAGGATAATTTATCCTGCAAACATTTGGCATACCAGATTTCGCGATTTCGTCGATTTGGCTCACAGATTTCTGCAGTCACTCACCTCAGTAAGCTTCACCCTAATCTGTCATTCTCCACCCGAGGCAAAGAGCCACTTGGCTGCAGCGTGACCGCCTGCCATCCATGTTGGGCTGAAAGGTCTTCGGCTGCCATCCGTGTTTGATACTCTTGGGTGAGATTATGTTATTCTTCATATCAGAAAGGATTAGGCAAACTGAAATTCACAAAACTGACGGGAGAAGCAACTGGATGCCTATCTCTCGTTCATGTGTTATGTGTTATTATCTCTCGTTCATGTGTTATGTGTTATTCTTGCGGTGGAAGTAGAATCGGCATGGATTCATTGGATGATACATTGATGTCTTCTTATATGCTTGTATTTAGTTGTTCTTAGCACATCGGAATTTCAGAGTCTATTTGTATGTTTAAACCTCAAGAGGCAGTGGCTATCACTGAGGTACCTCCAGCTGGCTCCAACTGATGAGACCTGTGTCCAGAACACCAGCAATCAAAGATGGAAGATGGCTAGTTCAGGTAGGCTTCACTCAGCTTAAGTGTCTTAAATGTGTTTGCTTGGCAGTTGCTACATTTGGCAGTTGTGATTTGATTTAAAGAACATTGGTCATGCCTTTGCCATTTGTTGCGCCCTTTCAACTTTCAAACGCAAAACAAGGTCGCCAAGGTCTTTGAGGTAGGTCTTGGACTGGTAGTCAGGGACAAGTTTCTCCTCTTCACCTTGCATCATTTCGTGTTTTCACTTTGTGTCCGATTTGGTCTCCGCAAGGCCTTTGGTTGGAGTTGGAAGGCCTCGGCTGCATTGGCATTGCGCCCTTCCTGGACTCTGAGGCCCCAGATCGAACGTGAGTTGGGATGGAGCCAATTTGGGTGCGAAGTGCAAATGGAGCTGTGTCGAACCTGGAGAGTTCAAGGTGATGTCTGCACAGCCAACCAAAAGAATGAGCCCAAGCCGTGCACATGGTACAGTGAGAGGCACCTGAAGACATGAATACAAGATCCTTCATCTACGAAGCCTACTTGTGGGAAGCTTGAATCGCCTCTACCCTGGGGTTCCCTCTCTAGAATCCTTGGACTTGACCTTGTTGTGTTTTGCCGTCTTGCTAAACTCTGCAATAGCCAATCAAATCGAACAGGAGTCATTTTGCGTCAGCACGATTTGGCAAAGCAATTGCATTTGATCACCCAAAAGGCTGTTTCGATCGATCTCATGTTGCTATCTTCTGGGAACTCCACTGCTGACCGCGCTTTGATCAGGGGGTTTTAGATCCCTCTCAAGAGACTGCTCGGAAGCAGTCAACCAAGCTGAGCCCCAGCCGCTTGCCACCAGGTCTGTGGGGAAGTGGTGCAAAGCTTCTCGACCGGAGCATGTTGGAGGAATTTCCGGAGGAAAATTCGGGGGGGGTGAGCACAAGAATGGCAGATTGTTTTCTTCTACCCATGGCACTTGTATGTTCGCTTCGGCCTTCGTTGCCTCTACTGTAACAGGTAGCAACAAGAATGCTTTTTTACTGCAGAACCATCAACTATGGATGCAACGGATTCTTGCACGACCCAAAACCGTAGCTGAACAGCTCCCAGAAGATATGTATCGGATTTCGTGGTTGCGACTTACAGTACCGGAGACCTGAAGACAGCGTCACATCGACCATCCCATGGGTTTTGGATGTGAGAGCGGGGAGCCTCCTAGTTGGGTGTGAGTTCTTCATACCAGGTACTTGTGTTGATTCCATTGGCTTACTTGACGGTACAAACAGCAACTCCTTTGGGTGCTGCCTACTGGCTTTCCACCAGAACTTTGTCCAAGTCATGAACTGATTGTTGTGACCACTGCTGCACGCGGCCTTGTGAGGGAGGCCCGAATCCCCAATCTTACCTCCAAAGCGTCCTTGCACCAAATAGAAACAACTTGTCTGAGTCAGTGCAGTTCGCCCCCTCCCAAAGGGACAAGTGAGGGTGAACTGGTTTCCACAGATGACCATGGCACGTCTTCAGGCCCAGTGGATCGACTTCAAGAAGAAGGTTTGCTGGCGTAGCTTGGCAAACGAATTTGACAAACAAAATCAGATCCTTTGGGGTTGGATCCGTTTGGGGTGCTCAAAAAGTGTGGCATCATCCCCCTCTTTTGCCATTCAGGCAGGTGTTCCCAGTCTCCTTGGAGACTTGAGCATTTGCTGATCAACTCCAGCATTTGTGTGTGTGTGTTTGTGTTTTGCCTCTTGTTTGTTTGTGTGCAGCGCGTGCTTCATTCATTGCCAGCAGACGTCCAGATGATTTTTCTAAAACCTGAGCACACACATTGCTCTTGTTTTCCCGCTTGTTTGTTTGCATTGACTATGGTAACCTAAGTTGACCACTATGGCCAAGCCTGCTTTGCTTTATGTGTGTGTGAGATTTTTGGAACTCTGGTGTGCCTCGTAGGATATGGGCTGGACATAGTGGTTGCATACCATTTTTGGTCACAGTGCTAAACACACCGAAATCACAATGAACACCAAGGGGTGGCGTTCTGTAAGGGATGTCCTTCACGAGGTTTTCCTCATGTGAGTCCGTCGCACTTTTGAGTTTTGAACGGCAATTGAGTGCAACAAATTATCAAAGACTTGTCAAGCACAGCGATTTCCAAAGCATCGATTCAGTGCATTCCAGACACGGCCCTCCCAACCTAGCCTAATAGCCGATGCAAGCCGATGCAATGCGAACCAAGGCGACACGACGACGTGTCCGAGGAAATTGGCCACTCGGACGAGCATGTCCAGAGTTCGAGCGAAGAGTTAGATGATGTCCATTCTCAGCTCGTGGCAACGTCAAGAAGTCCCAAACGCTTGCTGCCGCTCTTTGCTTTCGCGACGCCACCTAGGTGCAAGTAGTGGTCTTGGTGAAGTGTCGCCTGCGCCTGCGCCTGCCGCACCTTGGCAAGTGGTGAAAATGCTTCATGTTGTGTCATGTGTAGAACCTGCATTGCATAAATGTATTTTAGCTGAAATACAGTCTGAAACCCCCCCCAAGGAACGCATCAAACTACCGTGATTACAGTTACAAGTTGGGATCTGTGGAAGGCAAAAACAAGCTCGGACAGGTTGGATTCTTGGAAGAGGAGGAGGCCAAGCGGCGAAATGCGATCGAGATGGCGAATCCTGCAATATTCAATGCGATCAATACCACTTAAGCTTCGTTTGTTTCCGCTCCACCAGGCAACGTAACGTATGAGCATTTATTTTGCTGCCGTGAGGCTGTGTCGTATGTGTGATATAAGATGATATAAGGGAGGTGTTGTTCCTTGGGTATTTTTTGGACACCTGCAAAAAAAACACTGTATAGATCGAGGCTTCCCAGCCCAACTCCCCTGAACCAGGATTTGTCATTCCACTCACTGCACTATTGCATAGCCCAACTGAGCGTAGTGCAGGAGCAGATTGAGCCTCCACAAGCTGTGCAGCAACTCGAGGCTGGGTGGGTGAGATCAGCATCCATGGTGCGTCACCATGGCCATCAATTGCACGATATCAAAGTCTAGTATAGTTGTGACTGTCCGTTCAACACAATGGCAGATGGTTATTTGGGTTTGACAACTTCCTTTTGGCTGCTAGATGGTGAACTCGGACCGCTGAGTGACGGATTGAGAAAAAAACATGCTTTGCAGCGCAGAACCCCATAAAATAGATAGAATAAAAGCTCGAAATGCTTCCATCGATTCTACGCAGGGAGATAAAGAGGAGCAAAAGAGGAAGGAGGCAGCCAGAATGAGACGGAAACAAAAAAACAGTGGCGGACTTGCTGGTCTTGCTAGAGCATAAGAATTTGTTAGTTTACCTTTTACCCCTTTGCTTGATCGACCAGCACCTTGCATGCAATGAATGGAATGTGTGTAACTTCTGTATTTTCCGCACGGCGCAAGATGTCTTGTAAAGTGAGTGGTCAACAAGTTTGGATTTGGCCAAAGGCGTGAGAAAGGCATGATATGGGTGGTCAAAGGCTGTGTCCACCTTATATGTCCCAGTTCAGTTGGAGACAACAAAAATGACGGTGGGAAAACATGACAAAATACAAAGGAGGCTTCGGAAGCGAGGTTCGAATGTCGGAGGCTTCACCAGCCTTTCACTAGCTCCAGGTCATCGAAGTGACCGCTGCTAAGAAGGTTGTCAAGGCGAGAAGATGAGAAGCAATCCTTTCTTCATCTTTCTTCTGCAGAGAGGGTCATATGAGCTTTGCTCAAAAACTGCTTGCGACTGAACAGGAAACCTCCACAGAGAATTGCATTCTGGTATCGCTTGAACTTGGCTCAAGCATCAATCGGCTGTGCGGCTCTAGCATCGCTGGGTGCACCGCTTAGAGGTCGGAGGATGGCGGGTTCGGTGCCCGCCAACATTGAGGTGGGACTGATAGGAGATTCAAGTCTGATGGTCACCAACGGAGCAAAGAAGAGACGAAAGTCTCACTTCGTAGACCAGCATGAGAGTTTAAAGGGGAAAATCAAGCTTACGCCCTATTGCGGCGGAGGTGTGAAGAACTTCATTCAACATTTGAAGAACAGCGGAAACTACGGCACCTTGGGAATCAGCTATTTTGGCAACGAGCACCCAAAGGTCGCCATGCGTAGCAATGCGCAACGATTGAGGAACCACCAACGGATGTGGGATGAACTTTTCCAGCTGCTACGCACCAAGGTCCACCGCACGGTCTTCTTCATGGGAGGCTATGCGGACAAGTTCAGTACATGCACCCCTGTCTATGATGACAATATGGGGATGATCCGTGAGTGGATCCAGCAGGCGGGCTTTAAATTAGAAACGCACTTCGAGGAGGTGGCCGTGATGAGTTTGGGCGACTCTGAGCACTTTGCAATTAGTGAACTGGCAAAGCTCGCCAACATGTGGCACCACATGCTGTTTGGAGGAGAATGGGAAG